CAAAAAAAAAAAAAAAAAAAAAAACCTAAACATTTAATAAAGGGAAGAATATTTAAATACTCATTTGCTTCAAAATAACAGAAGATGATTACACAACTATTAAGGAATTACTAACTTTTATTCAGTCTATCTCGTTTGTATAAAAAATAATAACAACTATTACTAATTTAACTAGTAAAAATTAAACTTTCTCTATTTCATAAAAAAGCCACTTAGACACATTTGATTAAAAAATCATTAAAATATATTTATATTTATATTAATTATACATATTTAATCGATAATAGTTGAGATAAATAAACTTATTTATAAGATCAATGTATTTTCTAATTATTATTAAATTGGAAACAAATATAAATTGTATTAAAATTTTAAAATTATACTTTTTGCAACAGAAAAAATATTAAAGTGGTACTTTTATGATGCAGAGGAAATCTTAACTATTTGCATATAAACTTGAAAACATCACTTATACCAAAAAAAACAAAAATTCTAAATACCACTTATAATGAAACGTAGGAAATACAAAATTAATCTAAAATATCCATAGTTGTTAGTTAAAAGAATAATGGAAAGATTTCTTCGCTTTGAATTTCCTAATAAATTTATGATTTAAAAATCATCATAACTAAGCAATGCATGATGAATTGGTATAGTTGAAGTTGTTTGATCTCTACATAATAACAAAATACCAACTAATGTAAAAAAGTCAACTAATTGATCAATGAAATGATTTTATAAGCACTTTGAGAAGAAATTTGTTTGTTAAATGTTTTTGTATATTATCTTTAACTTATGTTACATGAAATTAAATTATAAATAATTAACTGATATTTTTTTTGAAAATATTGCGGATTTATGTAGATAGGCCTTTATAAACCTTTTAAAGGGTAAAGAAAAAAATGTTCCAAAAAGAAGTAAGGGGAAAATAAAAAATTAAAAAAGAATCTTCATCCAATGGAATCAAAACAAATGTATAGTTTCTTGTCAAGTTGCAGAAACACTCAAACGCTTTTCTTGAAATTTTCTTCTATAAATTCATTCTCCTAAACCATTCACATTCCCCCTTCTCTTCTCTCTTCGATTATTTCGCCTTCCTTCTTCCTCTTTGATCTCATTGTTTCTTTTCCTCAATCAGAGATTCATTTTCAAAGATCTCATCTCTTTTGTGGGATTACTCTATAAAAAAAAAGTTAGAAAAAAACCTTGATGCTTAATCAGCAGTTCTTGGTCTTTGAGACACATGTCTCCGATTATACTCAGTGAGATCTTCCTCTCTGGGTTTATGCTAAACTCCACCGTTAGGCGCAGGACCCATCTCGTTCAATCTTTCTCTGTTGTCTTCCTTTACTGGCTTTACTACGTCTCATAGTTTCTCAAACTCTCTAAGCTTAACCTTCCATATATATTAGATACTCATATAACTAAATCAAAACCCTAGTTTTTTCTTTAAATTTTCTTTTGTTTCTTTTTCATTTTCGTCATCGATCTTGTTCCTGTCTTGTTTTTAAATTTACCCTAAAAATCATTTTTATATTATTATCTCTCTTCTCTTTGGAAAAGGCTTGTTTGTTTGTGTGTGTTTACTGCATGGAATCGTCGTCGTCGGAAACACCTTCGTCGGCGATTCAAACGTCTTCCGGGTCAGAAGAGAATCTCATGGAGCAGAGGAAACGTAAGAGAATGCTCTCAAACCGTGAGTCAGCAAGGAGATCTAGGATGAAGAAACAAAAGCTGCTCGACGATCTAACGGCTCAGGTTAACCAGCTCAAGAAAGAGAACAACGAGATCGTGACAAGTGTCAGCATCACGACGCAGCACTACTTGACCGTGGAAGCAGAGAACTCTGTTCTCAGAGCTCAGCTCGATGAACTCAGCCACAGGCTTGAATCTCTCAACGACATCATCGGTTTCCTAGAAAACACCAACGGGGTTTGTCTGAACCCTCTGGCTGGTCCAGAGTCTGATGACTTCCTCGTGAATCAGATGAATATGAACATGTTTCATATGATGAACCAACCTCTCATGGCATCTTCTGATGCTTTGCTGTATTAGAAATGCATGTGGACCAAACAAAAACCTCGAAATTACGTAATGGACCGTTTCTTTTGTCAGATTTTAAGATATGTCCAAAGAGAAAGAGAGAGAGAGATATGTATAAATGGGTATGTTGTTTGATTGTTCTAGGAGTATTTCATTTTCTTGTTGTGTTTTTTTTTCCGTCTTTGGCGCTATGTATTAAAAGCATCATTATGAGTGTGTTTGTAATAAAGACTCTGTTGCCGCATGAGTACAAAGTGTTTTCTTAGTATTGTAATATGCTTTTAATATCTTAATTAAGTACCCCCATATTTTATAGTATATAGTTTCTTGAGCGATAATATGTAGTAATTGGCTTCAAACTGTCATCATTAAAGTAAATAAAGATTTTAGCGCGTATAGACCAAAGTATCACTTTGAACTCTGTATAGTATTGTCAAGTAAAATAGCGTATACATATAATTTAGTTGTACGCTCCTGCCTTCTAGAATCAGCTACACAATCATTTTTGAAGCTAGTCTTTAAGAAAAGTTCCACGATCATTTATCTAACTAAATCTCATAACGAGTAATTTTGCAAAACAACCCTAGTTTCTTTCTTATTTTGCTCTTATATAATAAAAATCCTCAGCGTTCTAGAAAAATATACTACCAAAGCAAATTTTTTAAAGGTTAGTTAATCTTCGAAAGCGTGGATATCTCTATGATATCAACGCCAAATTATACATTTAGAGATAGTCATAAGAGTTACAAAATCTATAAATCTTAGAGCATCATCAATGGGGGGTGTTTAAAGTAGTGCTTAATGCTTTTTGGCAGTAGGTCCCGTAAAC